ACGTGGAATCTAAAATATGGCACAAATGAACCTACCTATGAAACAGAAACAGACTCACTGAGAACAGACTGGTGGTTGCCAAGGGGGACGGGGTTGGGGAAGGGATGGAGTGGGAATTTGGGGTTAGCAGATGCAAACTATTATATAGACAATGGATAAACAACAAGGTCCTACTGTATAGCACAGGGAACTATAGTCAATATCCTATGATAAACCATAATGGAAAAGAACATAAAAAAGGAATATATATATATAGATATCTGAATCACTTTGCTGTACAGCGGAAATTAACACAACATTGTAAATCAACTATATTTCAATTAAAAGTTTTTAAAAAATTCCTAGCTGAAATGTGAATGCCAGGTCTTCCCTCCTCGGAATAAGGGCTCTGCGCAGGCCCAGGCTCATCTTTGATCTCTGTTTCCACCCACAGAGCTTAGCACATTGCCCTGTGCTAAGTAAGGGGCCTCACATACGGGGCCTGAGCAAGACCAGATGAAGAACTGAAGCAGGTCTCAAAGAAATTGTGAACCAGCTGTCCCAGAAGGCTACTGGAAAATAAGATCGACACCTGAGGATACCCTTGGCAAAGAGATCTGGAGCTGGATTCCTGGATCCACAGTTAGCCCTGAGAATTTGGCCCAGTATCTCCCTCACCTCCTAGTACCAGTAACCTGAATTTCCTCCAAGAAACTATCCTTTCCCTATTCCCAGCCATGTGCTTTAGCTGATGACCCCTCTCCTAGTCCCAGGGATGGATCCTAATTGATTTACATGTATCACATCCCTCTAGCCATGTTGGCAAGCTATTTTATAAGAAAAACACTAAAATCGCCACGTCTTCAGTATAATAGGGTTTATTCCTTGCTCACATAACTGATGGGTGACTTTCCTCCATGCAGTGATTTAGGGACCCGGCTCTTTCTGTTTGGTTGATCTGCCCACCTTATACACATGGCTCCAAGGTCGCCCTGGGGGTCATCTCCATTCCAGTCATCCAGAAAGGAAAGAAAGTATCAGGATCATGTCACTTCTACCCACATTTATCAGCTAGAATTCTGTCACAGGGCCACATCGAACTACAAGGGAGGTTGGGAAATGCAGTCTAGCTGTTTACACAGAAGAAAGAGATGCTTGATTTGGTAAACACTGAGTTGGTCTCTGCCACAGATGCATTTAACTTAATCAGAGCCAATGATGTGTGAAGATAGGTTTGTGAGAATTCTGGAGAAAATATATTCTCTTTTCCCGTTGATTGGGTGGGAGTGGGGGGAGGGTGCCTGAAATCCTGGGACTATTAAGCAATCTGGGAATAGGGCTAGCCTGGAAAAAGCAGAGCTGAGACAAGGATCGTAAGTCATCATTCGAATTCTGAATCAAGCGATGCCTGAGCCAAGCCTATCTCGGGAGTTTTCACTGTTGAGAACCAATACATTCTTTTTTTTTTTTCAATTTTATATTGGAGCATAGTTGATTAACAATGTCGTGTTAGTTTCAGGTGTACAGCGAAGTGATTCAGTTATACATATACATGCAACTATTCTTTTCCTTTCTTTTCTCTTTTTTTTTTAAATTTTTGGCCGCACCACGAGGCATGTGGGATCTTAGTTCCCTGACCAGGGATCAAACTCGTGCCCCCTGCATTGGAAGAGCAGAGTCTTAACCACTGGACTGCCAGGGAAGTCCCCATGCATCCGTTCTTTTTCAAATTCTTTTCCCATTTAGGTTATTACAGAATACTGAGCAGGGTTCCCTGTGCTATACAGTAGATATACATTCCTTTTTGGTTTAAGCCAGTTTGACTTGGGTTTTCTTTCACTGGCTACTAAAATTATCTAAGTTATACCATTTCTGTTGGCTATCAAACTCCACCCTCCTCTCCTCTCAGTTCTATTGATGGCAAAGAGGCAGCAGAAAGAGGTTAAGAGTTCAGAATCTGTAGCTAAACTGCCTGGATTTGAACCCCAAGCTTGCCCTTGGGCACATGACATCTTTGTGCCTCAGTTTCCTCACTGATAAATGAGGAATAATAATAGTACCTGTGGTATAGGATTGTTGAAGATTCGTGAGATAACATGTAAATGCTGAGAATACAGCATAACACTAAAACTATAGAAATACTTGTCATTATTATGCGGTGCTGTGCCAGACCTCTGTTGCTCTGACGACACTTCCAAGACTCCATCACCTTTTCAGCTACCTGATGCTTCCCCAGTCTCTCCTCTCTTTCCCTCCACAGCCCTCTCTTCTCCACCCCTGCCTCTCCTACTATCTTAATTGGCATGGATTGTGGGGGAAAAATTCTTTTACTACCCGAAACAGATCCACGAGCTCACCCTGCATGAAATGGACTTTTTGGACCTTCCAGGTGTCATATACTAGCAACTAGTGATACCCACAAGCCAAAACTGTCCAAGACGCAAAGCTGTATTTTCCATCTATTAGGACTGAAAATCCTCCCTTGGAAGGTGGCAGGAGGAGACCCAAGTACACGGTCCAAAATGTCACTTTCACTCTATTAAAATGTAAGGGACATAAATATAAGGAAGATGGGTATTAACAACATTAGCAAATGTTAATAATTGTTGGAACTGGTTTAAGGGTACGTGAGGGTTCATCATACTCTTTAATCTCATATGTCTGAAAATTTATATTTTATGATAAAATGTTTAAAAAAAAAAGTAAGGGACATGAGGTGCTCCATGAACCAGAGGCAACTGTTTATTTTCTCAAATCACCTGTCAAGGCCCCATGAACCTTATTTGACATGAAATCTAGCATCTCTTTCTAGAAGATTCCTCCCCACCCCATCTCCCCATAATCCGCGAACCCCAAGGAACTGTACAGTCCAAAAGAGGGGCTCACGTGGCTCCCACGCCCAGGCTGGGAAAAAATTGGAGTCTCGGGACCTGTCATTTCCCCTTTTCGCCACACGGGGTCACTGTTAAAAACAGATGCTGTAGGTCCTCGCTGCCATAGCTTGCGAGGGTCCTGGTACCTGCGCAGGCTGTCCTGAACTGACTGCCCAAGGAAGTCCACCCTGATCCCCGTGCCAAGCGCAGCAAGCGGGCCTGTGGCACTCCCAGGGCGACCACTTTTAGGGATCGGCTCTTTCAGTCCACATGCTGAGCCGCCTTCCAGAACTTCAGCCAACCCCAGCCTCCCAGAATCAGGATTCCTTCTAGCATCCTCCTCAAGGCTTCATTTTTTCAAATTGGTTGCATTACGCCTCCTTTCTGAGGAGACCATCCTCCATGGCTCCGAGGTGTTGCGCGTTTGGAAGGGAAACTGCCCTCAGTGATTCCAGGCGGCACCTCTCTCTCGCCAGAAAAGGGCACACGACACATTTAGAATCAGGCAGCCCATCCTGCGACAGGACCAAGTCGGTCTCCTGCTAATTCCTCGCGTGCGGGAAGGGAAGCGAGAAGGAAAGGAGCTTGAGGTCTGTGCAGTTCACCTCTGCCTGCCACCCTGTCCAGATTTTTGCGGGCTCTCACTTCAATAGATTGCTTGCCCTGCGTCTGCTGATACAACTCCTTCCATTATTTTTATTAAACCTACAGGACACAGAAGAAAATATAAATTTTGTGTTTCTTTTTGCTAAAATCCCATTGACTGTCCTTTTTGGACTGTTTCGGATAGTCTGTGGACTATCAGGGGGTGGCTCATATGCCTTTAGAGCAGGACCACAAAATGAGCCACGACTAAAGGACATGAGATTTTTTTTTTAACTTTTGTTTTTTACCTAATCTGCATCCCAAAGTATGCGGTGATTTTTTCATTATAATTTTTTAATAACCTCAATGCATACAAAATTTAGGTAATCATTATACAAATATACACTGTATTATAACAAATGCTGGCAGTAGTGTATTTTTTTAAGAATAGGATTAAAAAATCAGATCTTTGCTTTTTCAACTGCCTGAGGTTTCTTCTCCCTGTTTTTCCTTCTGCACCTTCTTCTCCTGCCATCTTCCTCCCTCATTGTCTCACACTTTTTACCCTCTTGAGGTTTCATTGTTTTGCTCCCTTGATTGTTGGCCATATCCAACTGAAATGTTTTAATCAATTATTTATTGAAGAAAATATAATATTCCTGTTCTTTAAGAAACAGCTTTAGTGAAACTTTTTTTTACATCAAAGACACAAGCATACACCGGATTATGAGAATGTAAGGGCTAAAATTATAAAAAGCTTCTAAAAATGTCATAGGGGAAAAGTTTCATGACATCGATTTGGCAATGATTTGTTGGACATGACACAAAAGCAGAATCAACAAAAGAAAAAAATAGACAAATTGGACTTCATCAAAACTAAAAGCGATTTGTACATTAAGGGACACTACCAACAGAGTGAAAAGCCAACCCATGGAATTGGGAGAAAATATTTATAAGTTATATACATGATAAGGGATTAATATCCAGAATATATAAAAAACTACAACTCAACAACAAAAAACAAACAACCTAATTTCAAAGTAAAGGACTCAAATAGACATTTCTCTAAAGAAGACACACAAATGTTCCATAAGCACATAAAGAGATGTTCAACTTCATGAATCTTTAAGGAAATGCAAATCAAAATCACAGTGAGATACCACTTCACATCCATTAGGATGTTTTCTCGGAAAAAATTTAAAATAACAAGTGTTGGCAAGGATACGGAGAAACTGAAACACTTGGGCACTCTTCCTGGGAATATAGAATGCTACTGGCGCTGTGGAAAACATATAGTAGCTCCTCGAAAAATTAAACAGAACTACCAGATGAGCCAGCTGCTGGAGGAGGTCACGGAGAGGACACTGACCACCGATTGACCCTGGCATCGGAAGCTCTTCACCCCTCCCGTCCTTGGAATGTGCATTCCGCTTGCCTTCCCTGAACTAGTAGCTGCCCCAAGGACACAGCCTTGAGATAGCGAGGGGTTGTCGAGACCATCTGGACAGTATAAGTGACTGAACCCTGTTAAAGCCTCTATATAAACTTTTATGATTCTGGCAGGCGGGCGCGGAGATCTCATCTTGCAGCCCCCGTGACAAGCCTCGTAAGTAAGTCCCTTTGCTTGTTAAAACTGCAGTTACCAATCTGGAACCATCTGCCTCTTTCTTGGGTCTCTCCTAGCCTTCAGCACACAGAGGCCGGTTTCAGATTTTACGTGGGAAGCTCCCAAGTTTATGAACTGACACCGGTAACTCCACTCTCGGGAACATGAGAGGATTTCAATCTAAAATGGACCCGGAGGACAGGAAATGGAGACTCTCAGGCATGCGCCCTGGGAAGAATGAAACTTACCAACTGAGACTGATTTTCCATAAACGCCTGATTCACAGAAGACGGAGACTTATCTCCTGACGAATAAACGTCCGCCATGAATCTCTCCCCATCCTCAAGCCAGTGAACTCGCTGATTGGACTCTGGCTGGACTCCCCGCTCTTTGCACTATTTGCCCATAAATATTGATACAACCCACCCCAAACCCTCAGTGACTCACCTGTGGCTTATAAGGCATGCATTTCCCAAACTGCAATTCCTCTGCTATTCCTGAAAAAAACTCAATTTCTGCTCATTTGAGCTTGCCCCAGTTTACCTCTTTATTTGGGTTGAAGGGTATAGACCCAAAAGAATTGAAAGCAGGGACTCAAACGGATACTTGTACAACCATTTCCACAGTAGCATTATTCACAATAGCCAACAGGTGGAATCAACCCACGTGCCCATCAAAGGATGAATGGGTCAACAAAACGTGGATACATATACAGTGGAATACTATTCAGCTTTAAAAAGGAAGGAAACTCTGACACATGATTCAATATGGATGAACCTTGAAGACATTCTGCTAAGTGAAATAAGCCAGACGCGAAAGGACAAATATTGTGGTTCCACTTATATTCGGCACCTGGAATAGTAGTCAAATTCACAGGGACAAGTAGTAGAATGGTGGTTGCCAGGGGCTGAGGGGAGGCGGGAAATGGGGAGTTAGTAGTTAAAGGGTATGGAGTTTTGTTTTGGGAAGATGAAAAAGTTCTGGAGATGAATAACGGTTATGTCTACACAACAGTGTGAACATACTTAATGCCACTGAACTGTACACTTAAGAATGGCTAACATGGTAAATTACATGTTCTGTATATTTACCACAATAAGAAAAAGAAAAGAAAATGAATCTCCTTTTAACTTATGTACCCTCAAATTGTATTTTTCTTAGGTCCCTGGTCCTCAACTAGAGAGAGGCAAAAGAAAAATGAAAGAAGAAAAAATGTCTGGTGCAGATCTCCAGGAAGACTCAGAGAAGCTAGAACAATAAGTCAAAACCAGAAGGGACTCAAGTTTTGAGCTCTTCAGGAGCTCAAGAATCCTAACAGTTACGTGGCTTGTCCGAGATTACACAGCTCATAAATGGGAGAGCTAACATGTAAACCCTGGAGAATGTATGACAGTTTGGTGATTTCCTCATCTTGGAGTAAGAAGTTGGGAAAGATCTATTTCAAATGGTTTTGGGGTCTTGTCTAAGAGTCTATGACAGCTCCACATCCCCCCCTATTCCCAACAAAGGTATTCGCTCCAGCAAAGTGCAAGAGGGCAAGATGTCCCGGAGAACTGCACAGGCCACCCCAGCCACTGAAGACTACACATCTCGAGGACCAACCCTAGGCTGGGGCTCCAGTGAGGAATGTGGGGGGGTGGGAACGTTAAAGTGAGAGATGGGCGGAGTTAGGGCATAAACCACTGGTTTATGGGTATCACATGGTTACTTAGGACAGACAATGTGGGGTGTGTGTGTGTGTGTGTGTGTGTGTGTGTGTGTGTGTGTATACTAGACTCTTTTCACAGAGCCTTTTTAAAACTTATCTCCCTTTCATCTAGAATACAAACACAAGGAATAGTTGGTTAACATTTGAAAGCTTCCATCAGAAGCCTAGAGGCCAGAAGTAACCACCAGTTCAGTATCTATGCATCACAGTCACACCAGGTAGTGAATTTGGTATGATACAGATAGGGATGGTTTTTCAATAGTGAAATTTATCATGATCATCATCCCATTTTCCTTCCCTGTGGGAACATTCCCATGAGCACACAAAAATGCGGTTATTTCTCACATCTTCCAAAAATCTTTCCTCGACTCATTTCCACCCTCACCAGTTACTGCTTTATTCCTTTGCTCCCCATTTGCTGCAGAACCCAATCTTTAAAAAATCCAATTTCTCCATCTCCTATTTCTCTCCTCTCATTCTTTCTTAAACCTACTCCATCCAAGTCTTCTTCCCTACCTCTTCACTGAAATTGCTCTTGAAAAGTTCACTCAAAACCTCCATATGGCTAAGTCCAGAGACAGCATCGGTCCTCTCCACCTCTCACCATTATTGGACACAGGTGAGCACTCCCTCTTGCCTGACCCAGTTCTCTTGCACCTCTTCATATCAGTGTCCCTGGAGCTGGGATCTACTCTCTACCTACTCCCACTCCTTCGGTGATGTACCCTGTCCCAAGGCCTTAAATAAAATTTACAGGGCTGGTGATTCTCAAATGTCTATGTAACTCCAGACTCATTTCTTCAACTACTGCTTGGCATCTCCATTTGGGTATCTAATAGCCATCTCAAACGTATCATAAAACTGAATTCCTCAATATCCCCTACAAAATCCTGCTTTACTCACACCCTCCTATCCCAGTGGATAGCAACTTTATTCTTTGAATTACTCAGGCCAAAAGCATTGGAATCATCTTTGACTCCTCTCTTTCTTACTTGCCCCCCACGCAAACTATTGACAAATCTTCTTGGTTCTCCTTGTGAAATATATCAAGAGTCTGACCCCTTCTCACCACCTCCATGCTCCTCCATGGTTCAAGCCACCATCATCTCTTGCTTGGTTTATTGCAATGCCTGTTGAGAAGCCTTCTCACTTGCTCCTCCAAGGTCCATTCTCAGTACAGCAGCTGGAATGATGGTTTCCTAACAGAAGCCAGATCATGTCTTTCCTCTACTCAGAACCCTCCAATATTTCCCAGAACCCTCACAGAGGCCCTCTACCTTCCACCTCCCACCACCATGTCCACCTAAGGGCCTTTGCTCCTGCTGTACCCCTAACTGGAATATTTCTCTTGATTATTCACTCAGCAAATCCCCTCACCAACTTTCAGTTCTTTCTCACATTTCACCTTTTCAGTGAGGATTACCCTGACTGCCCTACTCAATATGCCTTTTCTAGCTCTCCAAAAATTCTCTACCCAGCCCGGCTGTCTCTGCCTTAAAATTCTTGATAATTTTTTAGCAAAGGGCCCTGCATTTTCATTTTGCACTAGACCCTACAAGTTAGGTAGCCAGCCTTTCTTAAAGATCTCTACTTGTCTCTGTCTTTTTGATTTGTAAAAGAAAGAAAACAATAGTACCCTTTCCATAGGAATTTTGAGAGGATTAGGTAATATATGTCAAGAACCAGGCATATTAATATATATAAATTCATTCAACAATAATTTACTATTTGTCTACTGTGCACCAGCCACTGTTCTAGGAACTGGGGAAATGCCTAGAGAAAATTGCTTTCATGGAGCTTGTATTCCAGTGAGGGAAAGAAAGCCAGTAACAAACAAGATGCTGTCACATGGGGTAAGTACTATGTGGAGAACTAAAGTGAAGTGGTGTGACGCAGTGGCTAGATGACCCCTCTTGCTTAGGTGATCAGGGGCAGCTTCTCTGTGAAGTGACATTTAAATGAGAACTGATGACAAGAAAAAGTCAACTGTGCAAAAATCAGAGGGAAGAGCATTCCAGGCAGAGGGAACAGCAGTTGAAAATGCCAAAGATGGGAACTAACTTGAGGTGTGGGGGACACAGAACAAAGGCAGGATGGGGGCAGCAGAATGCATTAGAGAGGGCTTCAGGACAAGGCCAGAGAGAAGACCGGAGCCTAGATCAGGTAGGACCCAAAGCCACAGCGACCTGCTTGGTTAAAAGTGTGATGACAAGTCATTCAAGAGTTTTAAGCTGGGAACACTTGGTCTTACTTATATGTTTAAAAGGTAATTCTGACTATTTGAAAAATGGATTGGGGGGACAAAGGTGGAAGGAGGGAGGTCAAGCAGAATGTTACAATGCTACTATGATAATGTAAGCCAGAGATGATGGCAGCTTGAACCAGGGTGAGAGTGGTGGGGATGAAGAGAAGTGGTCAGATTCATGCTAGGATTCCAACCACTGAAGGTAGAATCAATAGGAATTGCTGGTACTCTTGGTGGAGAGGAAGAGAAACAAAAATGACTCGAGTAATTGGGAGGATAAATGTTCACTATGATCAAGTAAATATGAAAAATTATTATGTAAATACCAAATAAAAACAGCTACTAATAGTTGATTAGTAATGAATCCTAATTAAGAATTATGATGCTATCTTTTTTTTTTAAGTCTTTATTGAATTTGTTACAGCATTGCTTCTGTTTTTTATGTTTTGGTTTTTTGGCCACGAGGCATGCGGGATCTTAGCTCCCCAACCAGGGATCGAGCCCACACCCCCTGCATTGGAAGGCAGTCTTAACCACTGGACCACCAGGGAAGTCCCTAGGATGTTATCTTGAAATAACATCCTAACTAGAAAGGTGCCCTGAGGATGGTGAATGCCCAGTAAACGTTAGTTGATGGAATGAATGAACTGGGGGGAGGGAGACCGCTGACAGGGAGGGAGAGGGGGGAAGCCGGAGAGGAACACTGCCTACTTCACAATTTTGCCTAAAGCAGGACCTGCTGACTGGTCTTCACAAAAAGGAAAAACAAAAATCACAAAAAAAAGAAAGTTTGCTGCGTGGAAAGATTTGCCCTAACAAAGGAAAAGGAAAAGGCCAAGGGGACAGGGAGGCACATGTTTGGACACATCCCCTGCCTGGGAAAGCTGACGCCTGCAAGGGCCATGATCTGATCAGTGTACAGGAAACCCTTTTGCCCTGTCAGTTCCTAGTAACAACCAGGCGCATTTATTTACTCTCTCAAAGCACGATGCAGAGGAACCAGGAGGGGTGTTCAGGGCCAGGTGAAGGCATGGACATTTATTTATCCATCTGTGCATTCCGTCAGTTGGGAAGCATAAAGGAGAAGCGATGCCATGACCCCAATGTACTGCTACCTGGAGACATAGCACTTCAACCCAAACTAATAGTCTCTTGAGCCCTGGTATCTTTTTTTTTTTTTTTTTTTTTTTATTTAGGGCCGTGTTGGGTCTTCATTTCTGTATGAGGGTTTTCTCTAGTCGTGGTAAGCGGGGGCCACTCTTCATCGCAGTGCGCGGGCCTCTCACTATCGTGGCCTCTCTTGTTGCGGAGCACAGGCTCCAGACGCACAGACTCAGTAGTTGTGGCTCACGGGCCTAGTTGCTCCGCGGCATGTGGGATCCTCCCAGACCAGGGCTCGAACCCGTGTCGCCCGCATTAGCAGGCAGATTCTCAACCACTGCGCCACCAGGGAAGCCCAAGCCCTGGTATCTTATACTTGCAATAATAACCTTCCTATAAATTCAGCCCCTGAGAAATGGCAGTGTACTAAGAGGATGCCTCTCCATGAAGATTAAAAGTTTAAAGTATTTCCAAATCATGAACAGTGCTACACAGGTACATGTGGGGTGCACCATGTGAATTTTAGTCCATTTTTGACTTAAAAGAGTGATATTTCGTATGGTTCAGCCTGATATTTACCTCTGCAGGCTGATGAAATAGTTTAGGCAAAACACCGCCATGACAATAAATCCTAGCTTAAGTATAGCCCCACTACACTCTCCTCAAAATCTTAGAATGTTGGTTTCCTTTGAGAAAGCCATTTTGAGGGATTTAAGCCAATTCAGATTACTTGGGGGAGAAAATAATTTACCTATAGTCCTCTAGGATGCACCCAGATTTCAAGCCAACCACCAAAGGTGTTCAAGGCTTAACGGAATTTGGAGGGAGAGAAATCTTAGGGTGAGAAACGTGAAAAGAAATGGTTTATAATATCCTGTAAATGTGGAGAAGCAGAATGGATATCATGTCACTCAAGCCCCTTATTTTATCATAGAGGTTGAAGGGCTTGCTCGAGGTCAGGGTCAGTGGTTTGGGGCACGACTGGAGCCAGACCCTTGTATGTATTGAACCAACTCTCTTTTCTGAACCAATATTCATCACAGATGGAAAGAGTCTGGGACTTGTGGATTAAAACCATTTCGTAAGAAATAGAAAAATATTTAACACAAGTTACAAGAATTTGATTTCCCAGGTATCAAAATAATAATCCAAAAGAAAACGATGTGGAAAAAACTCACCAAGAAACAAGGACATTTAGAGGAGATTGCTATGGCAGAGCTGAGTGGCATCAAGAACAGAAAGAACTGATTTTGGGCTCAGGGAATTTAAAGAAAAAAGAAGAGTATGTTTCAATAATGTTTGGGGAGGTGATGGTGGTATTTTACTTGAATTATCCAACCTGTTTATCTATATAGCTGAGAAATTTTCACTTCTGTGAGTTATTCTGTCAATCATCTGTATTGAGCCCCTGCTGTATATCAAGCACTCTTCCAGATATTTGAGATCCATCAGTTAAGTAAACAGACAAAAATCCCTGCCCTAAATGAGCATGTATTCTAATTAGGGAGAGAGGCAGCAAACAATAAATATAATAAACTTGTGGACTGTATGGTGACTTAGAAAGTGATACATGCCAGGGAGATAGAAAAAGATAAGGAAGGGCTTCCCTGGTGGCGCAGTGGTTGAGAGTCCGCCTGCCGATGCAGGGGACACGGGTTTGTGCCCCGGTCCGGGAAGATCCCACATGCCACGGAGCAGCTGGGCCCATGAGCCATGGCCGCTGAGCCTGCACATCCGGAGCCTGTGCTCCGCAACGGGAGAGGCCACAACAGTGAGAGGCCCACGTACAGAAAAAAAAGAAAAAAGAAAAAGATAAGGATAAGAAGAAGCAGGAGTAGCTGGGTGGGAGCTTTCGGTACAGTAGTCTGCATAGGTCTCATGGAGAAGGTGGATTTGAACAAAGGCTTGAAGGAAATGAAGGAGTTAATCAAGTGGCTCTTTAGGGGAAGATTTTTCCCGGACTAGACAAGTCATGAAGGGAGAGGCATACCTGGCAGGTGTGTGCTCCACCACGTGCTCTGTAGAGCTGGTGTGGTACCTGGTCCTGAAGCATGGCTAAGTCCTTTTACATAGAATAGGAAGCCTCAATCCATCCAATTTGCCCATGTCATGCTATGCCATGGACAACAAGACCAGTAGATCACGGAATGGACCATCTGGAATCGGTGACACTTCAGTTCTGGCCCAAGTATGCCTGTAGTTGTATGAATCACAACCGTATTCCTTTATATTTGCTCTTCAGGACTTCTGGTGGTCATGACCTTGTCTCATGTGACAACAAGTAGACAGGACTAAATTCAGTTTAGCATTTTAATGACTGAATTAGATGAACCACAGATAATCCCATCAGCTTAGGCATCAGCTATCAGAATGGTGGTCTATCGTAACAGGCAAAGCACGCGATTAGAGTAAGATTACCGGGCATCTGTTACTAGCTCATGCTAACTTACTGACACTGAATAAATCACTCAATTCCTTTAGGCCTCCATTTTCATATCTACCAAATCAAGATATCACCTTTTACCCAGTCTATTTCCCAAGGTTGTATAAAATTTAAGATAATATGTGCAAAAGTATGGTGGAAGTTATAATGCACGAGGCAATGTTACTTACCCACTTCTGTGTCCTCAGAGCCCAGTATAGTGTTTGGCATTCCATAAATGTTGAATGAATGAAGGAATGAGTGAAATTTACAGTGTGATGGCAACTAAAGAAAAAAAAATCATCCTGTTAACACGACATATGTCTATACAATCAAAGGTATTAGGGAGTATTCGGGACAACTACCTATATAAATCAAGCCAAATAAAATATTACTTAGACTTTTACTTGAAGACTTTTTAAAGAGGTTATTTCAAACCATGATATTAAACTACAGGCTACTCTCAGTTTAGCTTGTTAAGTCCTTTGATTTAGAAAAGTGGAAGCTATTCTTACCCAAAGCAGAGAAAGGAGAAGGGCAAAGAAAAAAAAAGAATTCAACATTGCTCAGCAGATGGGTACAAGAAAGAGCTTTAAAAAAAAAACAGAAGAATGTGAGTTTCTTTTTAGTAATTTCTACAACTGGAATATAAACAGCTATCGAATTGTTTCAATGTTGACATAAGATATGAAGGAGAGAAGAAACTATATTGTGCTCTGGCCAAGATGTTTCAGGTGCCAAGAATTCTACCCAATTAGTACACAAAAAGAATATCGAGGAGAATCAACAGCAAGCTATTCCTATAATAAAACTGGATTCCACTGAAAATGCCTACTCAGCATAAAATCCACAAGCTAGGGCAGAAAAATACATCTCTTCTCCTGGGAGACTACCTTTAATGCTACTTGAAATTATGAATTGAGATTCTGAAAGTCTGTTTTGTTAGTTCTGTTTGTTCCAGCTTGGCCTGAATTTAAATTTTATCAAGGACCACATTTCCAGCTAGTTCTCTCTGATTTTGAAACCGTGGGTAATCATTAGTTAAATCCACTTCACCTGTTATCTGCCTTCACTAATCAAGGTCGTTTTAATTGTTGCTGCAAAATACTCACAAGTCCTCCAAGCTGCATATAGCGTAAACGATAAGATGTTTGCCTGAGTCGTCTTCAGGAGCTCTAGTTCGAGCTGAGCTGGTAAAAACCTGTTAAGACCACCGACCCTCCAACTGGGCATGCGCGAGTGTCCGCCCAGTGACCTTTCGAACTTGCGGAGGCCTGTAGCCTAGTTACACCTGCGCAGAATGTCAATTACCACCCCTTTTCCAATCACTTTCCCCACGCTCCCCACGCCTCAGACAGTCCTGCTTTTTTATTAGTTGTTCCGTAGATACCCCGCAGCCGCTTGCCTTCGCGGAGGTGGATTTGAAGTTTGTTCTCCAGTTTCCTCGTTTGGTTGCCTTGCGAGTAAGCCCTCTCTTCGCTGCAAACCTCAGCGTTAGCGTTTTTTGGCTTGCTGTGCAGCGAGCAAGTCGAACCTGGTTCGGTAACGATTTCTCATGCTGAAAGTTTTCAGGGATGTAGTATTGTTTTCCCTTTTCTAAATTTTTACTTCCCAAGGCACCATCTTCATTTGGAAAAATTCTAGGAGTTCTTGGATTTGTTGAACTTACGTGAAGCAACTTTTTCAATTTTCCAGATAGCTGCTCAAGAGAGACCAACAGGTAGCTGCTGTTCCGAGCTCTCTTTCTTCCTTAGTCTAGCAAAAATTGCAGGGAGAATGAAAAATAAATCTTGACCAGAAAACTCACCTTAGATATCAATTTCTGGCCTTTTTTATTCCCCTGCAAAGCAAAAGATACAATTGATTCCCCAGTAAACAGTTAGGTTTGTTCTACTTCAGAAGCATAAGCTTTGACCCATTGGCCGTCTCACAAGGTCCGGAAATATCTTGTTCAAGATTCAAGATCCAAAGCAGTTCCTGGAGATGATGCTTCAGCATCAACCAGTGGCTTCACACTGCCTGGGTTCAAGTCCCCGCTCCACCACTTACTAGCCTTGTGACCTTGGACAAGTGAGTAAACCTCTGTCTGCCTCTGTCTCATATGCAAAATGGGGATAGTATATGATACTAATACCTCTGTCCTAGGCTTGCGGTGAAGATTGAGTTAAAAGTTTAGAATGTCTGGCATGTGTGAAAGGTATGTGTGTGTTTGTGATGGTGATAATGAGGGCGCTAATGTTGGTGATGGCGAGGATGGTGATTCTCCCTCCTTGGAATGCTGGTCAGGGCACACGTGAAATGCTTTATTAGTCGAAGTGACCAAGGACTAAAGTCTCAGTAAGTGGCATGTTGTAGAGAAAGGACCACTGACGACTCAGAATGCTATAGCCATAGGGGATGCACAACAGTATTACCCAGGAAGTGTCCCAGCCCCTCTCTTGCCTTTTCCAGTATGGGAAAAGCCTCCACATTCCAATCAGGAAATTAATCCTCTCACCCAAGAGGAAACTCTCACCTCTCACGTTGTCACCGCTGAGAACAGATCGCGGGGGCAAAGGAGGTGGGTACTAGTCGGGGGGGACATAAGGAGGAAGCAATGAGAGAGCAGGAGGGCAGCCCTGGGCGGGGAAAGCCATTCCCAGGTCTTAAGTGCAGCGTAATAGGGGATATTGGAGAGAACAAACTACCTGTGTAGTATTGTTGATTTAAAATCCTCGTCTGGCTTCAGCGGTGCCCTGGCGGAGCGGACGGGCCATCCCGTCAGAGATACGTGTAACACGCCGTCTTACTGTGACCTAGGAAAGTCTGCCAAGGATGTCTTCAGCAAAGGATATGGGTTTAGCATGGTCAAAATAGATCTGAGAACCAAATTATGTAGTGGAGTGGAATTTTCTACTTCTGGTCATGCTTACACTGTTACAGGGAAAGCATTAGGCAACCTAGAAACCAAATACAAGATTTGTGGCTACGGGCTGACCTTCACCCAAAAGTAGAACACAGACAATACTTTGGGGACAGCAATCTCTTTGGAGAATAAATTGAAACTCAAATCGAGTTCATTCAACTCAAGGCATAAGTTCAACTCAAGGGTTGAAACTGACTCTCGATACCATATTTGTCCCAAACACAGGAAAGAAGAGTGGGAAACTGAAGGCCTCCTATAAACAGGATTGTTTCAGTCTTGGCAATAATGTTGGTATAGATTTTTCTGGACAAACCATCTATGGCTGGGCTGTGTTGGCCTTTGAAGGTTGGCTTGCTGGCTATCAGATGAGTTTAGACACAGCCAAATTGAAACTGTCACAGAATAATTTCACCCTGGGTTACAGGGCCGCAGACTACCAGCTGCATACTCACATGAACGATGGCATTGAATTTGGAGGGTGGATCTACCAGAAGGTGAACAAGAAGATTGAAACATCAATAAACCTCGCGTGGACAGCAGGCAGGAACAACACACGTTTCGGCATCGCTGTTAAGTACAAGCTGGATTGTAGAACTTCTCTATCTGCTAAAGTAAATAATGCCAGCCTGATTGGACTGGGTTGTACTCAGGCCCTTCAACCAGGAGTGAAACTGACCCTGTCAGCTCTCATCCATGGAAAGAACTTCAGTGCAGGAGGACACAAGGTCGGGCTGGGATTTGAACTAGAAGCTTAATGTGGTTTTGAATAAAGCATCAGCTTTGTCCCTGGAGGTGGAGAGAAATGAACCCACTATGTTTTGGCCTTAAAATTCTTCTGTGAAGTTTCAAAAGTGTGAACTTTTTATTCTTCCAAAGAACTGTAATCCTCCCCACACTGAAGCCCAGATATCGAGTCCATCCTAAGGGAGGTGCTTGAAGGCATACCCGGAAGTTGTCATGTTCGTGCCACATTTCAGTTCAGTCCCGCAGTGTTATTTTCAATGTGTTGCTCAGCGACGGTGTAGTGTCATGTTACAAAGGAGATGACCTGACCCTCCAGTTGTCCACACGTCCTGCACCACTTTTTCATGACCTTGTAATATATTGGTCTCTGTGCGACAGTGGAATCTTTGGTTTTGCATCAGAGTAAAATAAACCCAACACATTTGGAAAAAAAAAAAAATCCTTGTCTGAAAACAACTTTGAATGGTTAAGAGACAAACTATAACAATCAGCAGAAAGGAGTATGGACCACAGTAGAGAAAATGACATCCCACCCCGTGAGGGACACACAGATCAGCAGAACTGCGTCAACCCGGGACAGAGGAAACCCAGAGCTGCCTCACAGCTACACTGGGCTAAGGGTGTAGATTTGTGTAGCTGTTGTCTATGACATTAGCATATTCTAATAATAATATTAAGAATGGTTGAGCACCACTATGTGCTAGGCACCATTTTAAGCACTTGTTCATTGCAGGGAGGCAGTGGTAGGGATTTGAAATAACCTGAAGAACCTCTGTTCGTAGCAATCGAATGAGCCTCACAGAAATAAAACTATTCAATTTCTAAACAAATCCACGGATTTAGAAATGTTTCTAGTGCAACTAATAGATAAAGTCTATGAACGGGTCCTGAACTGTGGAATCCCCATGGCCACTGGCAAGCTAACTTCTACATCCTCGTAATTTAAAAATGGAACATTCAACCTGCTAAAATCTAGGATAGTATTTCCCTAGGCAAGAGCAATAGAACATAGATCTGGAGGTGCTAAGGTTAGTTTGCAAAGAGAAAACTCTTGGTCTAAAATCTTGGTCTAAATCTCTTGGTCTAAAAGTTCTGGAAAATACTGCTTTAAGCAAAGTTGAACTGTTTTTGTTTGGTTTTGTTACCTTATGTTTTACTGAGGGATGTCTCAGAACCTTTAATGAGCTAATGAGCATGGTCAATTCCTAAGAAAGGGACGGCAGAGGCAGGGTTTTCCAAATTGTAGAATTCTTCCCCAGCACCCCTGCAGCATCTTCCACAACTATTTAGGAAATGCAGGTATGGTTCATTCTCCCCCCTCCAGGAATCTAACCCATTCCAAGACCCAGACACTTATCCATGTTCTTCAGAGAGAAAACAATCAGAAAAAAGCTTCCAATTATTTTCCTTCACATATTGGTTAAGGTAACACAGCTGCTATAACAGATTAACCTCGATCTCATTGACTTCACACAATAAAATGTTTTTCTTAAGCAGCAGTCATCCATGCAAGTGGAATCACCTAGGAAGCTTTGAAAAATAAGATTTCTGTGCCCCACCCCCAGACGTACTGATTTGATTGTTCTGGAGTAGGGTAGACATTGGGAAAAAAAAAAAAATTAAGCTTCTCCAAAATTCTAAATGAGGTTGAAATCCACCGAACCAAGGGATTGTAAGGACTTCCTCATCTGGCATCTTCTCATTCAGACCTCTGGGTTAGCCTCTGAAGGGCTTATCTGTACCAGAATTTTCTTGGATTATTGATCAATATAATGTAATGTTATTTCAAAAATCCAGAGAGAAAGATTTTGCAGCGTAAGGATTATTTAACCAAAAATAGTCTCTTGCTGCCAGTCTCCCAATCAACTCAGTGTCATGAGATGTACCCTCATAAGCCTGTCTTGTTGATTAGCACAGACGTTATCCTTTGTGTTACTCGGCCTGACAGTTTTCTATCATGTCAATGGGACCGGAGCACCACCTGCTATTTATTCATTAGCTATTGTTTTAAGCAGTAGAGGGTAGTGGTTAACAATACTGGATCTAGAGTCACCCAGTTTGAAAACTGGATCCTCACCTACTAGCTGTGTGACCTTGGAAAAGTTGTTGCCTAACCCCTCTGCCTCAGTTGCCACATCTATAAAATGGGGAGAACAATCCTATTTCACCAAGAATTATGAGGATTAAATAGGTTAATCCTTGGAGAAGTCTAACATAGTGAGAAGCACATAGTAAGTTTTCAACAAATGTTGGCTCTTGTTATTTTTCTTACTTTCAAATGCAGGTCTCTGCTCTAAGCTGCTGGGGACACAGAAGATGAAGGCTAGCCCCTCTCTGCAAGGAATTCACAACTGGGCACAGGAGACGGACACATAGACCAGAGAATTATGATGGATATGACTGGGCTTTCGTAGAATGATGCGCAAAATGCTGGGAAGGTCTCCAAGATGATATTGGAGGAGCAGGCCAGGAAGCCTTCCTAGAAGAGATGCCATTAGATCCGGGCCTCAAAGGGTAAGATGAGATCTGTAGACTCAGATCCGGGCCTCAAAGGGTAAGATGAGATCTGTAGACTCAGTTATTTGCTACTGAAGTGACCTGGAATAGGGGAGAGGATGGGTCTAAAACCCAACCAATGGCATCTGCAGAGACATTTCTTTGTGGTAGAGTTTGCCACCATCCTCGTCCAAGTCAAGGACCCAGCCTTCTGCAACATCCCCTCCATGCCTGGAACTGTGCCCATTTATGGGCATCCCTGCTTAAACTGCCTGATGGCAAGCTCAGACCTTTGCATTCAGGGGGAGAGGCCTGCAGTTTTCCATGGTGTGGCTGCGTAAATGTTGGCAGGGCCTGGGGCCAGAAGTAGGCAGGACCCAGAGGCGGATGGGCAGGGCAGTAGGAGGCAGGAGCTTTTTCTTGGGAGTTTCATAAGGCACAAAAATTCCGGACCATGTCTCTGCCTCAGCGCCTTGAGGATATCCTGTCATTGAGCCAGACGTGTATACAGTTGAGAGTGGCCGATTTCACCACGACCCCTAGATTGGCCATTTTTCCTGTCTAGAGGGAGTTCTCACAGATCATCTGTTTCAATCCAGGAAAAGGAGAGGAAGAGATTTAAAAGCAAACACTGAAATGAGAAAGAATTCACTGGGCGTTCATCAGACTAAGTTAATGTAGCTAAATAGTCCTGGCAGGTGCCTGACGTGGAGAAGAAGCAAATATTTCCTCACCATGCTACAAATTTTAATACTTCTTTTCCTTGGATTGGCGGCACAAAATCTCTGTTCCCTGCCTGACACTGCAGAGCAGGTAAGATGAAACTTGCGTTTTTTTTAAATGTGTTTACATTCACGATTGTGTACATAAACTTTTTTGCTTTCCTACGTTGTCCTAGGTAAATGGTACTATCTGGACTTCACAAAATAGAAAGCTTGTGGAGAATAGGATTCTAATGGGGATCTGTCTGAAAGGGTGCTAACCCAGTTCTATTCGTGCGTTAAAACGCCATTGTTGGGATCTCTGATTTAAGTGCCAACATCCCTCTATCCATTGTGGATTTTGCTATCCTTTTTGTCGGTTTGCTTTAATGAATACCTCCCATTGCATCGTTCTGAATGTAGAAAATAACAATGGCTGTAGAGAGCTGAGTAGAGAGGAGCTCTGGGGAATTCCAGGTTGGGTGATAACTGATTGAGAAACACAGTGTCACCAAATGTGCCAGGAATCCATCCATCTACCTACCACGAGTTGAGCAGAAGTACCCAGGGCAGTCGAATGGCTAGTCCTTGTGAATGACACCAGCACTCCTGCCTGCCCAGCAGGCTCACGTGAGTTGTCATCCTATAGCAGGTTCAATACCAGTTCTGCAGCAAGTCCAGGCTAAAGGAGGGTATGTGAGGGACTCTCCTGGCAGTCCAGTGGTTAGGACTCCATCCTTCCACAGCAGGGGGCATGGGTTCAATCCCTGGGTGGGGAACTAAGATCCTGCATGCTGCACAGACAAAACTAAAAATAAATAAAGCGGAGGTATGTGAGAGGCAATCTGAGTGATTTATTTAAAATGTATTTCACGAGATAGGATTTCTGCTCTATTAATAATAAAACATAAACGTGATTCTGCATCTGTGCCAGGCAATTAGTTTTACATATATATACACTCTTTTTTCATATTCCTTTCCATTATGGTTTATCACAAGATACTGAGTATAGGTCTCTGTGCCATACAGTAGGACCTTGTGATTTATCCATTCTCTATAGAATAGTTTGCATCTGCCAATCCCAAGCTCCCAATCCATCCCTCCCCTATCCCCCCACCCCCTTGGCAACCACATTTCTGTTCCCTATGTCTGTGAATCTGTTTTGTGCCAGACACATTTTTATCAACACCAATTTTACTCCAGTTGGCTATACTCTGATAAGGTTTTTCACTGAAACATTGGAAGATGGCATAAGGGTTAAGTGCTCCAGCTATGAGGTTAGATAGGGGCAAGTTTGAACTGGGGCCTTTCTTTGTTTAACAGCTATTTGAGGACCAGTCACTGCTCCATGGCTTACTAGCTGTTGAACCCTGAGCGTGTTACTTGGTCCCTCTAAGCCTCAGTTTCTCCCCATCATTGCTCCACAGACAGCAGTAATTATCATGCACATCACCACCATCATCATCATTGTTGAGTACTTGCTTTAGTACACAAGCCAGGCCTTGATTGATTTTAAAGCTGAGTTTACTTTTTAGACGGGACTGTATGAGAGAGAGAATGAGCCTTTCCATTGGAAAAGGACAATTTGAAGATCAAGGGGTTCCTTGAAGAGAGAGTATTCTGGCTTACTAAGAAAAGAGAAAGTACTGTCACCCCATAAACTTATCCAAATGGGAAACCCTAATGTAAAGAAAATCCTGCTTAAAAGAAGTGTAGATATGCCCTAACCATTAAAGGGGATTAATTCAAACAATATCTAAGAGTGGCTTTTATTATTTCACAAAGAACATTCTAGTGCTGTTTTGGTTCATAATGATCACCAAATGAAAGCTGCCAGTAAAAACAGATTTTGTTTTCTATATACCACTGTACAGTATGGGGAAGAGCAATGACTGATCAAGGAATCATAAGGCCACTAACTGACAGTGTGACCTTGGGCAAGTCACTGGACCTAACCCCACCTCAGTTTTCTCCCCACTAAAATGAGAATGATGATACCTCCCCTACTTGTCTTTAGGGTGGTCAAGATCAAATAAGATGATGCCTTTGGAAGTGTGCATAACCATATATTGCCCTGTAAATGTAAGCTTTCTTCTTAGGCAGCCTTTACATATTTCAATGAACTTAGAAGTAGTTATTTTCCCACCACCCGTAACCTAATGCTGGGCCCAGGGGATAAGCTGTGGGATGACAAAGAAATAGGAGAAGTGGTCCTCTCCAGCAAGGGATTTTTAAGTGGAGAGAAAGACAACAGAATGTGCTTCACTGTCCAGCCATAGGGAGAAATCGAGAAAAGGAAGAGAAATGAGTGTGGTTTTGTGGACGTGGTGTTACACAGGGTGTTGAGGTGTGGATAGCCAAGGGGAGGGGACTCCGATGAGGAGAGGCAACAAGCCAAACACAGGTAAGAACAGAAATGTCACAGGAACAAGCATTTATGGCCTATGATATTCTAGATACTGGACTAGGTGATTTGCGCGTGTTATATCACTCAGGTCTCAATAACCTGCAGGGTGGTTATTAATATCCCCCCTTTACAGATGATGGCAAAAAGTAAGGAATTCATTCAAGACTGTATGCTTAGCAAGATACAAAGGTTGATTCTAAACTTAGGTCTTCTGAGCCTCAAGTTCAGTGTCTCTTCATCGTACAAAGCTGCTGCTTCTTAAGCTTAATGGGGAGATGAAGGAAACGTGAGAAAGAGGATTATATCCATGAAGGATCAGCAACAGGATTGCGCACAAGGGATCCTGAAGACGAGGCCAAAGTGTATCTGTGTCATTCATTTTAACAGTGAATTCTCTGCCACCTGATGTTGCCAAGTGATTATTTCTAGTGTGTCTGTGATTTCCCACAAGTCATTCATTCAAATGTCCATTGACAGATGAATGGACCAAGAAGATGTGGCACATATATACAATGGAATATTACTCAGCCCTAAAAAGAAACGAAATTGAGCTATTTGTAATGAGGTGGGTGGACCTAGAGTCTGTCATACAGGGTGAAGTAAGTAAGAAAGAAAAACAAATACGACATGCTAATGCATATATATGGAATCTAAAAAAAAAAAAATGGGCACTGATGAACCTAGCTGCAGGGCAGGAATTAAAGTTGTAGACATAGAGAATGGACTTGAGGACACGGGGTGGGAGGGGGAAAGTGGGGCGAAGTGAGAGTAGCATCAACATATATACACTACCGAATGTAAAGTAGTTAGCTAGTGGGAAGCAGCCGCATAGCACAGGGAGATCAGCTCCGTGCTTTGCGATGACCTAGAGGGGTGGGATAGGGAGGGTGGGAGGGAGACACAAGAGGGAGGGGATGTGGGGACATATGCATGCATGTGGCTGACTCACTTTGTTGTACAACAGAAACTAACACAGTATTGTGAAGCAATTAACTCCAATAAAGATCTATTTTTAAAAAGTCAGATATTTACTAAGCACTACTATGTGGTACACACTGCTCTAGGTGCTTAAGGTACAGCAGAGAACAAGACAGGAAAAAATCTCTGCTCTTACGGAGCCCACGTTCTAGCTGGATTATCATCAAAAGATTGCAAACATCTTTGGAGCAGGAACTGTGTGCTTCACAGCATTTAGCACCCAAACTAGACTATTCCTATGGAATCAATGCTGAAAGAATATTCTTGAGACCTATTGATCTGTGATCAATTGATCTTGAATAACCTGCTTACAATTGCCCATTTGAAAAGTGTACCCTGCCGTATGCTTCCGGTTTCGCATTTGGATATGTGTAAATAGTGACATTGCTCTACTTTGCTAGACTCCAGACTTGAGATCAGTTATGGCAAATGGGTGGTATAAGCAGCACCTTCCCTTGCCCGCAGCCGTGGTAGACATTGCTTGTTGATTCCAACACTCCTTGCAGATAAGATGGAAAGACCCACCAGTCATTACCAATCAACCTCATTGCCATCCCTGTCGTTTCATTTACATGAAGCTGGTGGAGAAGATTGGCCAACCCGGGCTCGGCTAATGGGACTTGATATTTTTTTTTAATGTTTTCACAGGCAAAAAGATGTGATAAGAAGTCTCTCCTTACAATTAGGACTGAGTGCCGATCCTGCTCACTCAACTTTGGAATGAAATGCCCAGATGGTTACGCCAAGGTTACCAATGGCACCGTAGGGATCCGAGATTGCAGGTACTCATTATGAGAAAATATGTGTGCTGGAGTCTTGGAACACAAAGGATTGTGAATCCAAATTGAAACCTCCCAATTCAAAAACTATGAAGCAGGCTTCCCTGGTGGGGCAGTGGTTGAGAGTCCGCCTGCCGATGTAGGGGATACGGGTTCGTGCCGCGGTCCGGGAAGATCCCACATGCCCCGGAGCGGCTGGGCCCGTGAGCCATGACCACTGAGCCTGCGCGTCCGGAGCCTGTGCTCTGCAATGGGAGAGGCCACAACAGTGAGAGGCCCACGTACCGGGGAAAAAAAAAAACAAAACTACGAAGCATTTCCATGATTTTCTCTTACTCTAAGGTTACATTGAACCCAAACTTCAGTAACTTACAACTATGACCTTGAGTCTAAAAAATATATTACAATTCATGTTTTCATACAAAATTGCACCAAAATATTCTGCCTTCATCTTGCCCTTCTTTATTTTGAAAATCTGGGGTTTGTTTCCTTTAGAAAAGGTTCTAGTCAGAACATGTTAAAAGCCTTGGGTCTGATAGTCATCTTACAAAGTAGCTATGCACCCTGATACTAATTAGAACCCAAAGAAGGGAGACAAAGGAATTACAGCTTTCTTGCATTGTATGTGAGTGTAGCATTTTTGAAGCCCTCTTATGATTCAAAACTCTCATAATTCAAGGTTAATCCTTGCAAAGGATGACAAGCAGTTCTGCCCGCCAGCTCATGGATGCAGCCGTGCAGCTCAAATGCAAACACAAATTTTAATTTACTCAGTCTACTAATTCAAAAATTAGACAGTACTCAATGAGTTTGTTTTTAATTCAGGGGTGAAGAATTAGAAGAATTTTGTATAAAATGAAACCATTAACACTGTTAGATCACACTGTTTTAAATTCACGTTTGCTTAATGCGACTGTACTATATCCTAAAACCCCAAGTCACCATTTTTAATAGGAGTTTCCCAACATTACCTGGCCTGGAATTAGCAAGCATATACAGCAGTTAACCACTTAGTTACTACCAAAGTGGGCACACATTTGTAACCAGATTCCCTGAGGAAGTACATCAGAAAGCTTTGGGGTTCAAGGTTAAAATTATATGGGGACTTTACTGAGAACTCTTTATACTGATTTTTTATTTTCATGGCCAAAGTGCGTATTTGGTTATGTATCCCACCCCACCTTCCCCCCACTTCCCACACACACAGCAGATAAGATTATTGCATTCAGGCTGTCTGTTTTAGAATTGAGAACTTTGATCTGTCATTCAGCTGTGCTGAAACAAACCCAAGACTGGTGTTTTTATATAAATTTTTAAAATTGTAGTTGAATTCCAATGTTGTGTTAGTTTCAGGTGTACAGCAAAGTGATTCAATTATAAATATACATATATATTCTTTTTCATATTCTTTTCCCTTATAGTTTATTACAAGATACTGAATATGGTTCCCTGTGCTATACAGTAGGTCCTTATTATTTATCTATTTTATATATAGTAGTGTGTACCTGTTAATCCCAAACTCCTAATTTATCCTCTCCCCTCCCACTTTCCCCTTTGGTAACCATAAGTTTGTTTTCTATGCCAAGACTGGTTCTTGAGGGGACATTTTGGTTCTCTTTTGGGCTCCCCCTGTCCCCTTCTTTGTAAAGAGATGTCCCTGCCAATATGCTCAATCTTTCAAAGAAATCATCAACTCTATCTCCAACTCAACTGCCCATAAAGCCAGTAGCTTTTTGGTGAATCAGCTACATTTCAGGGACTGGTTTAGGAGTACAACCTTGAACTCACCGTCACACTATTCTTAACAACCCAATAGTAAGAAATGATATTCATGGCTTTAGATACACTGAAGTCAAGTCCTAGAATAAGTCATCCATACAGAGATCCCTGTAAATAGACAAGCACTTAACCTCTGTAGACTAGCTATTCCAGAACTGTTCCTCAGCTGGTGGTACAAAAACTGTCCTAAGGAACTCATGATTATATCAAGAAAACCGTGGCAAATTTTGCTCACTACATTACAACACCTCTCACAGAAATTTTCTATCTATGGTATATGCAAAAAATGTGCAAATCCTGAATGATCAGTTTATTTTAGATCCCCAGGTACTGTGCATCACAAAACTCTTGATCTTTCCCTTCTTGCATTGGCTGCTAGGACACTCAGTGACAAGTCTGAAGCCCACCTCTAGCATGTGCCTAGAACCTAGCATCGTTTCTTTCATCTACTAACTTCACTTCTAACATTTTAGATATTTCACCCTTATTTTCATCCTTCCCTGATTTTTTCATGTTTCTTACAATTAAAGATGAATCATGATCATGCTTTATTTTACCTAGGAAGCAAAATGTGCTCAATCTACATATTTTAAAATACAGGCAAGTATAAAGACCTAAATAAAAATCTATGGAAATCTCACTGCCCAGAGTTCACTGCGTTGCCCTAATTATGGGTTAATGTCCTCTCTTTACCCTCCAAGGTACACCTTTGAGGTCAGAACATACTCGCTGTCTCTCCCTGGATGCCGCCATATCTGTAGGAAGGACTATCTCCGGCCTCATTGCTGTCCAGGCCACTGGGGCCCAGACTGCATGGGTAAGTGTCACAACACTTTCCTTTGGTGGTATTTGGTTCTCAATGTCTCATTTTACAGAAAATCAAGAGGAAGGAAGCCTGATAAAAGAGAATGTTAGCATCTTTTTCTAGAAATTTCCATCTCCATTTATATGTAGAAAATCTTTCTAGCCCTGTCAGCTTTTATATCGATATCTGCTTTCCTCCATTTAGAGATCTCTCCTTAAGACAATTCCTTTACAAGTCAGAAAAGGGGACAATTGAAAGGATATCCATTTCTATAAAAAAGATGATTGACCATAGAGAGGAAGTAAGACTGCTGGGCTATTATAACCTCAATACAATTTTCTTTAAAAAGATATTTGATTATAATACCACAAAGACTGTAGTTATTGTTTAGCAACCAAGATAATCATTAACTCTTCTAAAACTTTGTCTTAGGATGCCATATCAAACTCTGTAATGGTCAGGTTCCATTGTAAGAAAAACCACTAACCAAACCTGAGTCAATGGTATAGTTAGACTCCTCTGGTCAAACATTGCATTTGTCAGCTGAAATTGAACTTCTATCCTGATTAAAGATGTTAACACTCAAGTAGTGACTAAGTCCCTGATATGACATGCAAATTACATGAGATCCCTTTTGGGGCAGGAGTGATAGTAAAAATCAGGCGTTTTAATCATGAATTTACCATTTGTTTTCCATCTTCTAAGATGTAATGAAAACATCTCCTTAAGGATCTAAATACTTAAAGGGAGAGATTACTTCTCTTTTGCTTTGTTTTTCTTGTTAAAATAACATAAGCAAATTGTACACAGCTTGTAAAGTTTAGAAAGGTTTAAAGAAAGAAAAAATAGTGACCTGTATTCTGTCGCACATAGAAAACTGTAAGTAGTTTGGCTTATTTCCTTCGTCTTTTTTTTTCCATATGGCTTCTAAATAGTTGAGCCCGCATTATACGCATAATGTTTCCTCCTGTTTTTTTTTGTTTTTTTTGTGGTACGTGGGCCTCTCACCGCTGCGGCCTCTCCCGTTGCGGAACACAGGCTCTGGACGCGCAGGCTCAGCGGCCATGGCTCACGGGCCTAGCCGCTCCGCGGCATGCAGGATCCTCCCAGACCGGGGCACGAACTCATGTCCCCTGCATCGGCAGGCGGACTCTCAACCACTGCGCCACCAGGGAAGCCCCTCCTCCTGTTTTTTTAACTAATGCTTAAATGAATAATAGCATCCATTTACTCCATATTGTTGACATTAGGTAATAGAGAAGTAGTTGGCCTATATAATGATTTAATTCTTAAAGCTAAACTTTAAGTTAGACTTTTTTATCCCCATTTTTCCTATGAGGAATCTGATTTAAAGATGA